AATAATAATAATAATAAGAACAAGTCTGAGTTTTAGCCAATCAAAGCACTTTATTGCACTGTATAGTGTGACGGTGAGCCAATAGCAGGCTCTTATAAAAGTGTCATTTAATCTTTTTATCATGTGTACAAAACAAGTCACACACACTTGTACCGTACAAAATCAACACTATTTACATACAATATACACACACACACACACCTAACACACAACCCACCAACCACACACACACACACACACCATGCAGTCTCTCTCCCATCCAGTTCTGAACACACAAAGACGAGTCCTCCGGGTTTTCTGATGAGATTTCCTTCTTATCGAACATCCTCCACCTCACACACACACTCACTCACACAACGTCACACACACACGACTGACACACACACACTCACACCACCACACTGAACACACTCACAACAACACACACAGGGACTGAAACATGACCGCGTACGACTGCTACCAACAAAACCCAAACTGCTAATGTGAGCCAAACAAGCGCTAAGCAACTTCTAAAATGCATAAAAGTCTTTTTCTTCTCATATAAAAAGAGGACAGAAGACGGTGAGACGCACCAACGAAGATGAAGAACGATGAGATGATGCCATGAGATACTTTATCCACTGGGATGTAAACAAACAAACAAACAAACAAACATTTATGAATTATTCTAAACAGCTCCGACACTGAATATAGGTTTGAGTCCAACCCGCAGTGTCACAGGTCGACAGCTACGTCCAACAGTGCCGATATTACCCATAATTCACAGCAGGCGTGGGTTATTAGTCGTTTTTTAGTTGATTATTGATCTGTAATCCTGTCACGTTAGAGGCAGTGCACATAAAGCCCGGAGGACGTTCTTCACTGCAGGTTGCTGTCGGAAAAAGGCGACGACAGCTCGAATGAATCTGAACTTTTTGGTGTTTTTGTTGTTCCGTCTCTCCTCCAGAGACTCAGACGTCCTTATAAAGGCTGTAAAGGTGTAAAACACTGAATCTAAAACATAAATAACTGAGGTTTCATGGAAGTATGTGAACTGGTCGGCTACTGAGGCAGATTTGTGGTGCGTTTAAGTACCATCTCCCTCTTTCTGGGTGGTCTAATATAATGAAAACAAATGGACTATTTTTCATTCAAAGTTTTTTTAAGTTTCAGTTGAATTCTTCTTAAAATATAAAAATCTGTGGATCCATTAACAGGTTTCGTGTTGACACCCTGCAGGCAAATTAATAGGTGATAAAATCTTGAATCTCTCACAATAATAACAATAAAAACTGCTCATTTTCAAGTTCTTTGATGTTTGTGCCAAAGAATATTTCACTGTCTGAGCAGAGATTTAATATTTGGATCAAATTAGGGACAGAAAAGATGTTGTAGTTCGATTATTTGTGGTTACAACGGACAAAAATCAAAGGCAAGTTTGGTTTTGACTGTTTTATTTAAACGTGTTCAATCGAGTGAATTCCTGCAGCTTTTTCAGGCAAAAATGTTTCATCATTTTAAAGTCAAACAATCAGGAGGTAAAAAAAAACCAAACAGAAGACAAATATCTAACGAACGAGGGAGTTTAGTTCAGGATCTATTCGGCTGTATAACGTCTGCAGTGAACGACGTCCTTCGTGAGGCGTTATTGCTACAATATGAGCTTTTTATTTCCTGTAAACTTTATCTACAGTTTCCCTTCTTCGTCCCGTCGGCCTCCAGATTGCCGTTAATCGGCGTTCGTCAGGACGTTAGCAGCGTTTTTATCCTCGACTGCGTCACGTCTGACCCTCTTTTCGCTCTCTGATTCAAATAAATAAAGTAACATTTCCCTTTAAATATCAACAATATTCCCTCTTTTTCTTCTTTATTCACACAGTGCACTTTGCTTTGCTTTGGGTGATTTTTTTAAGGACTGAATTTCACAGGTTTACTGCGAGAAATTTAGTTCTAAAGTAACTGAGAGATGAAACATGATGATTATTGTGCATGTTGCACTTTAAGTTTAAATTCACTACTTTATTTATAGACATTGCACTTAAATTTGTGGTGTTTTCTCCCTAAAAAACACTGTTTTTGCCTCCAAACCTTTGACAACTTAAAGATGAATCAACGTCAGGTTTTTTTTTGGATGTTTTTTTCCCGCCTGCAGCTTCAAGTCTCCATACAAAACAAAAAAAAAGTGTCTTATTTGTTCGTATAAGGTTTAAAATCTGTTGCGTGAATCACATTAAAACTGTGTAAAATGTCCCTGTCACACATTAACACAGACAGATGAACACACACACACACACACACACACACACACACAGGGTGCAGGTGGAGAGAGCTGCATATAGGGGCTACTATACCTGTTTTTAGGTACCTCTCCATATAGATTATTATGTCTATGTACAATATTTATATTTTTACAATAATCTGGCTGCCCCTGTTCTAATTGAAATAATACCACAAAGCTCTTTTTTTGTTGTTGTTGTTGTTGTTGATTCGACCAGTAAAACATGATGACAGATACAGTCTCTAGTATTTTTCTCTCTCTCTACCTTTTACCTCCTAAAAACCTCTGAAAACGACGAGCGGTGCGGCGACTGGAGCGGCCGCCCCGTACACAGTGTTCCCCTAAGGCTTTCTACAGTGACGAGCTCCCGGTAACGGTCACGAGATTGAACGGGGGTGTAAACAAAAAAACAACAAAAAAGAAAGAAAAAGATCAACATCATACCACCACTGAGCGAGCAATCAATCAACCAATCAGCCAATCGAACCCCGAATTCGGCACAACACGACTTTAAAGAAAAGGGACGATTTAAGACCACACCATATGCAGGTTCAAAAATACAGTACATCTTGATTTTGGGAAATAAATGAACAACAACGGCGATATGCACGGCATACAAACGCATGCTAGCTCTCTCTCTCTCTCTCT